TGTCATGAATAGATAGTGGAAAAAATATTATTTTTCAGTTTACAAAATTTACACAAATTATCATGTGCATTATGCATAGTTTATTTTTATTATACTATGAAATCTTGATAAAATCAATTGCAGTTCAATCAATCTGATAAAAAATGTAATACATAATAAATTCGAAGGTCATAGAAATCTCACTATCATCACCATCACTGCAGAAGAACATGACTACTATTTTTGTTATTGTAGTCTACATTATTTTTATTCATGATGTTATAATTAACTCCTTTGACCACAGAAGAAATATCAAAAGGTGTGGTGAGATCAGTAGAATATATGGTAGAGGTAGAGACATTTGTATGACTTCTTGGAATACTGTTTATAATAAGACAAATTGTGTAGCTTCAGATATATTTTTTCTTTGACCAGGAAAGAGACCACATACAACCTTTGCAACATGAATCAGTTATTTTTTTAGTCTGTTATTACATGGATGCATCAACTTGATCCTTTTATTGATTTTATTTTTTATAACTGACATTTGAATTGTGCAATGAATATTTTGATTTTTTAATAATATAATTTATTTTTAATGAGTAAAAGTAAAAACTACACAATTTCTCCAGTCTCCTTTAGTTTTTTAAAGAAAATTTTACATTTTGGTGATATTGGCAGAAAATTAGACAAACTGATGACAATTCTATTTTATATCCTATTAGAATAAACATTAGTTATCCTTAATAAAACTCATTTTTTTGTTACTATTATTGAAGGTCATAAAGAATGCTTGTACAAACCTGGGTATATTTGTGAAGCAAATAGTTTAACATGCAATATTTTTGATAATTCTTTAGCTACTGTAAATACACTTTATCAGCAGCTGTTTACTTCTAGAACAAAATATTTGGGATATCTTGTTACAGGACATGATAAACCAGAGATTAATAATCAATTGTTAACAGATATAACATTTCATCCATTCGGGATCAGTCGTGTTTACTTTGTCGAATGTTCATTTCATCAAAAATTATTCATCCTCGAGCCAGAGACCAAAAGAGTTAGATGTGAGAAGTGTGGGAAGTTAGTTAAGAAAATTAGATGAGGAAAGCGGAGTGTGTGGGAAGTGTGAGGAGAAATTTGTTTAATGAAGTTTTTTTTTTGTGACGAAATGAACAT